AATCAAGGTAAAAATAAACGGAAAGCTTAAGATGACATCAGTCCTATTTGTCTGTCCTGGTGTTATGTGATCGATCCAAAGTAATTGCCAAATTTGTTGACACTTTCCCATTTCTAAACCATTGTTAAAGAAAATCATATACGGGGTCACACCATCCTCACGGTTGTCCATCAGAGCAACCATTCCCTCTGGATTCATGTTTTCACCAAAAAAGAACTAGTAGTTTTTTGAAATTAGGAAGGGTGTGTTTGATTTGTTCTGCACCTTCTGTCATAAAAGATTTTAGTCTTTCTGGTTTCTGTTCAAGTTTGCCTTTAATTGATTTCATGCCAGTTTCGCACTGGCATGAAACCGAATAGAGAGCCCAGCAATAAAGCCGCACATATATGGGCAACTGATCTTTGACAAAGGAGCAAAGAATTTGCAATAGAACAAGGACAGTTTGTTCAATAAATGGCGCTGGGAAAACTGGACCACCAAAAACAAAAGAATGAAAGTAGACCACTACCTCACACCATGCACAAACATCAACTCAAATTGGATAAAATATCTGAACATAAAGGGACTATGGTGATGGGACACAGGTGAATGGATGGTTGGAATTTCACGGGGACTACACCTGAAAGGAAAAAGCATGCACTGTACAAAAACGAAGAATGATGTAAAAAAAAAAATCTATCTATCTATCTATCTATCTATCTATCTATCTATCTATCTATCTATCTATCTGTATAAAGATCTGAACATAAGACCTGAAACCATAAAATATACAGAAGAAAATATAGGTAAAACACTGCAAGACATACATCTCAGTAACATCTTTAAAGACTCATCATCCAAAGCAAAGAAAGTGAAGGAAAAGATAAACAGCCTGGGATGACATCAAACTAAAAAGCTTCTGTACAGCAAAAAGAGACAGTAACCAAAACAAAGAGCAGCCCACCGCTTGGGAGAAAACTTTTGCTTTCCATGCAACTGATAAGGGACTGATCACAAAGATATACAAAGAACTCAAATGACTCAATAAAAACAAAGTAAACAACCCAGTCACATATGGGCAGAACTTAAAAGATACTTCTCCAAAGAGGAACTGCAAATGGCCAACAGGCATATGAAAAAATATTCAACATCCCTCATAATCAGGGAAATGCAAATCAAAACCACAATGAGAGATCACCTTACACCAGTGAGAATGGCACATATTAAAAAAAAAAAAAATCTAGCAACAACAATTGTTGGTGAGGATGTGGAGAAAAAGGAACTCTCCTGCACTGCTGGTGGGAGTGCAAACTGGTCTAACCAGTATGGAGAGCTTCATGAGATGGAGGCCACTGAAAATGGAGCTACCACATGACCCAGCAACCCCTCTACTAGGGATATACCCAAATGACACGAAAACACTAATTCAAAAGAATACCTGCATCCTTATGTTTATTGCAGCACTATTTATAAAGGTAAGACTTGGAAACAATCCAAATGCTCAAAAATAGATGACCGGATCAAGAAGATGTGGTTCATATACTCAATGGAATACTATTCAGCAATCAAAACAGATAAACTAATGCCATTTGCAGCAACATGGATGAAGCTAGAAGGGATTACGCTCAGTGAAATAAGTCAGAAGGAAAAGAAAAATATCAGATGGTTTCACTGATAGGATTATAGGGAACCAAATAAGGCATTAGGGGAAAAATAATAAAAATAAAACAACAAAAGGAAACAAAAATAAACAGACATCTATAAATCAGAGACATTCTGCAGGGGAAGGGGAGGGAGAGGGACCAAAACGAGGGAGGGAAGAGCACAAGGGACTGTGGTGATGGTGCACGGGTGACTTGGTGATGGAAATTCTATGGGGACTACACATGAGAAAAGAAAGCAAACATTGTAAAAAAATGAACAATGATGTAAAATATACAGAAAGAAAGGAGGAAAAGAAAGGAAAAGAAAGGAAAGAAAGAAAGAAAAAAGAAAGAAAGAAAGAAAGAAAGAAAAAAGAAAGAAAAAAGAAAGAAAGAAAGAAAGAAAGAAAGGAAAATAATAATATTGAGTCTCATAACCGGGATATAATATATATAACATTTAAGGTCTTCTTTCATTTCAGCAATATTTTGCATTTCTAAGTTTTCAGGTCTTATGCATTTTTGTCATCGTGTTACGGAGCAGCCCCGATATAAAACGGGTTGCTTGGCTGTGTGTAAGGCCGGAAAAAAACGGAAAGAACTCAAGTTAGGGATAAAACCGCTTAAGCTCATGGTTGAGGCCACGTTTGGGTCAAAAACACACCCACAAGAGCCGCACGCACGGGGAAAAAAAAAAGCAGACTTTTCAAGACGTGAAACAAAGATTTTCACTGCGAGTCCTGCAGACCTAGTGCGCTTTATGGAGACCAACGCAAGGAAAGTTACTTTGGACTGGTCAACCGCGGGTGAAGCTTGGAAACAACGTTGGGTGCCAAACTGTTACCGAGCAACCCCGATATAAAACGGGTTGCCTGGCTGTGGGTCCTCACCCGCGCGCTTAGAAGAGACATATTAATACCCCACTACAGGCACACACAAAAGGTTAATAAAAGGTTTATTTACAAGGGAAAGGGAAATGAGGAAATGTACAACTCAGGGAGAAAATAGGGAAATAAAGTCTTTAATGCGTCCTACCCTATCCGCCCACCTGGAAACCCAAAAAGCACTCTCCGAGCTGGCCAGACGCTGCGAGCTGGCGGAGAGCCAAAAAGGAACCCCCTCAAAGCCCACGTGTCTGGTTTTATACCAAACCTGGCTGCTTCACCCCACCCTCAGGTCCCAGCCACCTTCCCTTTGGTGGTGATGGGATTTGTCTCTCCCAATGTCCTGATGGCTTTGGTCTGGGGTGGGGGTGGAGTCCACAAAGCCTGCATGGGATTAGCTTTAGGACATCCTTTCCCCCTAACAATCTTTATCCCCAACATTCCTTTTTTTTTTTTTTTTTTTGATGGCACTGTAAACAGTTAATTCTTATTTCAATTTGTAATGGATTATTGCCTACATAGATATGAAATTTTTACTTATTGATCTTGTGTCCTACAACTTTGCTAAACTAGTAAGTATATTCTAGTAGATTTTGGGAGGTTCCATCTAATTTTCTACATAAACAATCTTGTCTGAAATATAGTTTTACTACTTTCTTTCCAATCTGTATGTCATTTGTTTCTTCTTGTCTTAGTGACTGGCCTAAACCTCTAGTACATTGTTGAATAGAAAAATCCTTTCCTTGGTCCTCATCTGATACGAACGCAACCAATCTTTCACTATTACCATTACCTTCGTAATTACACCCAAGTCACAAATTTAAACCAATCCCCTCTTAATCTCACTCCATCATAATTAATGTCGATTACTATAATGTGGTGGCCAATATAATTTTAGACATTCCCCACAAGAATTGACACCGAAAGCCTTTTAGTAATGCCCCAAGTATGACTTCAGGCCATTTATTCCATTATTTTCACTGCATTAATGGATTAAGGGAATCCCTGTTTCAGCACTGTTCCATTCCTAGATCTGAGCAGAACTCCCTAGTAGCCATGCCTCATGGAAGTATCTAAATGAGGGTCTGCTTAACCCTGTGCTCTAGATTTTAAAACCATTACCCCTTTTGTTTTATTTTATTTTTATAAGTTCTGTGTTTATTTTTTTATTATTTATTTATTTATTTATTTATTTTACACAAGCACTGGGTACAGTCAGAAGTGCGGGAGGGTGAGAGAATTCACCAGAGCCAGAGCGGGGAGCAGAGCAGGCACAGAAGGACCGAAGCACACTGCTGAGGGGAGCAGCGGGCGGCAGGAGAGGTCTGTGCGCCATGTGGGACCCTCCTCCGGTGGCCGGGGAGCAGCCGGGGATCGAACCGGCGCTGCAGAGGCTGCGGGCAGCTTCGCAACCCAGCGCTCAACCGCTGCGCCACCGGGGAGGCCCCCATTACCCCTTTTAAAGTCTTCTTTGTTGAGGGATTTAGGCAAACCTCTTCTCCACCATCGTCCAAATTAACATATTTCTATATTCATCTCCACTCGGTGCCCCAGAGCCCCTAGTGAAACAGTCACCGCGCAAGGACCAAGAGAGTGGTGGGTGGTGGGTGCTACCTGAGCCCCTCACTGTTCTCGGCTGGCTTCTGGGCCCTGGGCAGGTGCCTGAGCCCCTCAGGCCTTGTTTCTTCTTTCACAGGGTGGTGGTCACAGGCCACCTCAAACTGCTCCACATTTCTCCTTCTACTATAGCAGCACCGTCCCCAAACACCCCCCACCCTTGGGGCCTATGGCCCCAGACAGTCCCGTCATTTTCAGACCTAGGAGGGGGGTCTCATTTCTCCCCCCTCCTTGGCTGGCACTCCCACTCACCCTTTCAAAAGCCTTCAAAGACTCCTCAAGTTCTAACCCCTACAGCCCCTCCGCTCTCCAGGGGACCTGCCTTCCCTGCTTCGTGAGCCCCCATCCCTCTAATGCTCAGGCCCCAAACCCTCCCGTGGCCTCAAAGTTTCCAAGGGCTGTCCCTCCCCAGCACCACCATCCCCCTCCAGTTTGCCAGGAGGGACCGGCTTAGACAAACATTGGCTGCCAACGTCCTGTGCCCACTATGTCAAAGCTCTGCTGGAAGCGGCGCGGTTCCCTGGTAAACTTGGGCTGCTCCGTGCACCCCCATTTTTAGTTTTCAGAGCCGGGGCCAGGGCCTTAACACCCCTTGGGCCTCGACCTGCCCTTCTTACACGTGGAATAAGGACATCAGCATGCGTTGGGTGGAAGGGGGTGCCCAGTCCTGCATCCGGGAAAACAGGGGCAGCGCCTGAGGCCCGGCGAGGCCAGGCCTCCTCCGGCCGCCAGGTAGGTCACGGCGCGCGGGTCGGGCGCCGAGCACTGGCCGGCCAGCCTCCGCGGCGTCCAGCCCCGGGCGGGCCGCCAGGTGAGTGCGCCCGGGACCTGCACAGGCGTTGCTGGCGGCTCGTGCGTCCACCGGCGACTGCGGCTCATGGAGCGGCGCGCGGGGGTCGCCGCCGACCCCAGCGGGCGCAGAGGAGGTACAGAGGGGAGGCAGGAGAGGGCGCGTCCGCTGCCACCCCGGGCCCCGCCTGTCTGCTCCGCGCCTTCTCCTTCCGACAGGTGGTAAACAAAGCAGCCCAGGCGCCCAGGCGGCGGCCGCGGCGGCGGCGGCGGAGGGCAGGGGCCAAGCGACCCAGCTAGCGACCCAGAGACCCGAGCCTGGCTCCAGGCCCCCTACCTGCACCCGCAGCCGCCGCCGCAGCCCTGCACCAGCCCCTGCGGCGCGGGCTGCGCACCACACCCGGAGGCTCGCAGGAGCCTCTGAGCAGTTGTGCAGCAGGGGTCTGCCTGGGGTCACTGGGGACCCCTGAGCACTCGGGGCTGTCGTGGAGGGACAACCTGGGACTACGTGGGCCCTCGGGGTTGCCCCAGGATGTCTGGAGGGGGAATCGGGGGCGCGGGGGCCACAAGGGGGCCGACTGTCCTGTGGGGACATCTAGGGAGATCGGGGTCCCTTTCGATTTGGGGGGGAGACTTTGGAATCCGTGGTCATGAGGGGGAGTCGGAGACCTCCAGAGGTATTCACGGGGCGTTCGGAGGTGTGCGGGAATGTTGCGTTCAAACACCCACGTCCAGGGATACGGTGGGGATCGTGGGGTGGCAGACCCACCGCGGCCTGGGGTGGCGGGACAGTAGGTGACCTCGGGAACTGTGGAGGGGGTGTTCGGGCTCTCCAGGGATGTGGAAGGGCATGGTTGGGTCGTCGGACGCCGGGGTGGAGGTGTGGGCCGTGGGGGGTTGCGGAGGCTCGGGTTCGGCTCTGACCTGTCCTTTTCGCCAGCGCAGGCCGCGGCCTTTCCCTGCCGGCGGGCCGCAGCGCCCGGCAGCTGCTGGAGCGGCTGGACGCGCGCCCCCTGGCGGCCCGAGCTGCGAACGACGTGGCGGCGCTGGTACGCCGGGCTGGTGCCACACTGCGCCTGCGCCCCAAGGAGGGTGCGTGCGGGGGCGGGGCCGCCCGGGGGATGCGGTCCGGGCGGAGCTCGTTTCTGAGGTGGCGGGCCTGGGGTTCTTAGTTACTCGGGTCTTGAGCCAACAGTGTGAGTGGAGAGGGCGGGGTCGGAGGGAGCTCCAGGGGGCGGGGCCTTGGGGTACCCTGGACTACTCCTATAGGTGGTGATACCAGGAGGGTTGTCGCAGTAGGTGAGTGTTGGAAGGTTAGCGAAGAAGGGCGAGAGGCTGGACGCGGTCCAGCTCAGCGGGGCTTGGGGTGGCATTCCTCAGGGCTGGAAGCTCTGGGGGCGGGCACTTAGCTAATGGGCGGGCGTGGAATGCTAATATAGGGGGTGTGGCCTACCCACCATTGTGGGTGGGGCTCGAACTGTCAGGAGTGGGTTGAGGCTTATGGGCTAATTAGAGGGCGGGACTTGGAATGAGCAGGAGCGAATCCTGGAGCAGCATCCTCTGGGGTGGGCGTGAGGGTGTTATTTGAGGGGCGGGTCTCCGTGTTATTAGAGGGAGGTGGCAAGGAATGGAGGACTCGTCAAAGACCTGGACCCAGTATACTAGTTAAGAGACAGGAATCAGTACAGCTATTTTTTATTTGTGTGGGCGAAGTAGTTAAAATGGTAGGTGAATTTGTATGTGCATTCTAGAGTCAAGAAAAACAGATGAGGATAAATATTACTCAGGGGCCTCATCCTAGGTCGTTTCCATGGAGTACCCTTCAATTGCCTCTTTAATTTCCCAGCCACTTGCATGCTGGATTCTGCCGAGATAGAGGTCACCGACAGTCGCCTGCCTAATCCCACATTGGTGGAACACCCACCCCAGGTACCACCTTGTCCTAATTGAGGCCTCAAGATAGTGAGATTGGCAATGTATGAGCACTTGTTTTCTTACTTCAGCATCGTCATTCCAATACTTTGGGTACACGTGCCACGCAGCCTCAAATGACCCAGGCTAAGTTACGTTGTGCATCGAAGCATCCCCAAGGCTCCGGTCAGTTCTGCGTAGAACTGGTTCGCGGTCCCTTGGGCTTTGGCCTCACTTTAAGTGGCGGACGAGATGCAACTGGGAACACTCCCTTGGCAGTGGGCGGACTGCTGAAGGATGGGCCTGCACAGCGCTGTGGTCGTTTGCAAGTGAGCATAAGACACCCTCCATTCAACCTTGCTAGTCCCATTCTTGCCCTTTTGGGAGGCCCTCTCTTTCTGGGCTTTCTGCAATTCTCCTCGCCTTGCACTCTTGCAGGCTGGCGATCTCGTCCTTCGCATCAACGGAGAGTCAACTCAGGACCTCTCCCATGCCCAGGTCCTGGAGCGGATTCGGGCAGGCAGCCCCAGGCTCCATCTTGTGCTTCGCAGGCCTCTTGAGAACCACCCTGGCAAACCTGAGGGGGTGTCAGGGCCCCAGAAAGGAGATGGTGGGTTTCCCAGAAGTGAGGGCTCACCCATCTGGAGGGGTGGGGAGGGTTCCAGAGGGGAGAGGCTGAGGTCCTGGGTGGGAAGTGGTGGGTAGTTTCCATAAGGAGGGCCAGGGGTTTGGTATCTGTGCAGGGTCATGGTATGCTCCAAATTGAGGGCAAGAAATGTAGGGTCCCAGAATGGGAAGATGGGTGGATTTCAGAAGAGGCTTTTGAGGTACTGGGAGGGGAGAGAAGGGAAAATGTCTGGGGTCAAAGAAAGTGTTCTGAAGGAAGCATCAAGGTCTTCCAAGAGAAAGAGAGTGGGTCTCAGCAGGGAGAGAATGAGTTGGGGGTGCAGCAATAGGGAGGTCTAGATCTCAAAGATCAGGAATCCAAAGGGAAGTTTTGGGAGTCTAGGAAGGTGAGTTGAGCATAGGGAGAGTTTGGGGTCCTAGATAGGAGGGATTTGGGGTCTCCACATCAAGGTCAGGGTTTGATTTCCTTTGGGGATCATGATGATTTCTGAGGGATGAGTCCTGGACTTAGGAGAGCCGTCTTCGTAAAGGAAGCTTCTGGCATCCTGAAGGGTGGTGTGGATCCCTGAGCGGTGTGTCCAGACCTTGAAGGCAGTTTTCTCAAAGGAGAGTTGTCTGTCTCCCACAGCCCCTGGAATCTCCCATCTTCAGTCAAGGGGTTCAGATCTCTGATCCCTATCCTACAGCCAATGTAACCCGCAGTTCTGCCATTCCCAGATCGCCCAGGTCCTGGGAGACCAGAGGTCTTGAGTTCTAGCTGTGCCAGCGCTTCCCCATTTCTGCACCCGGGATCCTGTGAACCACGCCAAACCCGGGGCAACCAGGAGCCTAGCCCAGAGCGGGCAGCCAACGACTCCGCAGATTCTCCTGCAGAGCGCCACACAGAGGACCCCGGAGACCCAACCCCCGGTTCCCCAGGGCCCTGGCTGGTGCCGAGCGAAGAAAGGCTCTCGCGGGCCCTAGGGATCCCGGGATATGCGCAGCTATCGCTGGAGATGGCAGCCGGAAGGCGGAGGCACTGAGCATGCGTCAGACAGCTGGTGCTCTCTTGGCACTGCCCAACCTGGATCTGGCGTCGTGGAGAGAGCGTCCCTTTTGTCTTGTCCCCCCTCCTGCTGCGCAGTCGACCAGCCCGCGCTCCCCTCACGTACTCAGTGGCATGGTCCTCCCAGACCGGCCAGCCCGGCGCTTCTTGTTTCGGGAGGGGGGGTAATAAAATGGTTCGATCCAGTCTTGACTTGCCAGGTGCTCTAGGCAGGGTGGGGCTCCTGAGTCCTGCCACAAAAGAGGGGGTGGATCGATCAGGTTTCCAGGAGGGCCTCCTCTGGAAACCCTCGACAACGTACTTTGTGGGGGTGCTTTCTTATCTCTGGAGGGGTGTTTGCTTCTGCCGGTCCTCAGTCCGGCGTGCCCTCTCAGCACTGTTTCCCCTGGCCAACATCTGCTTCTCTCCCCCATTCATTCATTTCACTTTTTTTTTTTTTGGGGGGGGTAAGTGTGCAGGGGTCATGGATGATTATTACGCGGGGCGTGGGGTATGCAGAGGCGGGCTTATTGGGACCGGGGCCGGGGGGAGGGCACCGGCATACCTAAAACCCTGGACTGGCATGGTCCAAACCCTCAGCTGACTACCGGATAGCAAGGCTAGAAGCAGGGCGGCTTCCTTCGCCGGGAACCTGCGGTCTCTCACTTCCGCCCGGGTTGGCAAGCTTTCTCTGGTGCATAGACTGCCACCCTCATGGCAAGGGCTGGGGCCCTGGAGCCCCCTTTGGGGCGGAGCCTAGAAGGTGTGAGTCAGCGGGCCGGGCTGAAAAAGTTTGTGAGAGCCTGTGGGCCATGCCCCCTTCCATAGTTGGGGAAGAACTGCGGCTGGGCTTGTGTGCACACGCCACACGATGAGCTGGGCGTTCCCGGTCCTGGGAGAGGCTTGAGTTTCCTCCATCCTGAGGACAGAGCCCTAAAGCTGGGGCTTATATCACCAATAGGACTTCAGCCTGGGTAGCTCTGAAGCTGAAGCTACCTAGGCACTGGCCAGGGCCAGAAACGTCCAGTCACCTCCGCTGTCACCACATCCTGAATACTTGGCCACATCCCCCTAATGCAGGAAGCTGTGATCAGGTTGGAATGGACAAATCTCACCCCTATGGGGAGGGGTTGTGGTGGTGGGAAATTAGAGGACCAGGCCATGAGTGCACAGGGTGGTGCTGGGGAGGAGAGAGGGAGAGCAAAGTCAGGCTGAGAGTTGGGGTGTAAAGAGGTGAACCCTTGGATGGTAGCAATGGAGACATTGTGGGGGTGCAACTCTGAGGCATTCAGCTACCCCTGACTCAGAGACTGGTAGAGGTGTGGCTCTATGGAAGTCAGAAAAGGACTCCAGAACTCCAGTCTTATAAACACAGTTACACCCAGGAGACTAATAATAGTAACCCCAGCCACCACTTAGCCTTATCCCTGCCACTGGCTTTACTTGCACTATCTATTTTCATTTAGTTACACATCTCAACCCCGATATGTCCATTTCATAGAAGAGGGAAGTGAGATCCAGAGAGTATAAATAGCTTGATGGGGGAGGGGGAGTTAGGCAAGATGTCATCAAGGCCTGATTCCCAAGCCTGTCTAATCTCACCTGCATTTGACTGAGCCTCAGCTGTTTACCTTGCACTGTGATAGGCCCTGGGGGGAATGTCGGGGGAACAAACTTAAAGATTTACATTCTTGTGTAACTGCTGTAGTGCGGATTAGATAGATGTCAGAAAATGCAGAAAGATAAATAAATAAAAGTTAATTTCAGGTAGAAGTGATAGGAAGATAGCAAAAGGAGGTTATAATGGGAGAGATAATGATGGTCGTCGGCTGCTGGCCTCTTAGGAAACTTAACATTTGAAACATTAGATTTTTTTTTTTTGCATAGAAGAACTGGGTTATAGGCCAGAGGTGTGGGGGATGAGAGGATGCACCAGAGACAGAGTGGGGAGCAGGATAGGAGGATCCACTGAAACACACTGCTGAGGGGAGCAGTGGGGGAGACAAGAGAGGTCCGCTGTGCCACATGTGGGTTAGCTCCCTGGCTGAGGATCAAACCCAGGTCTTAGCGGTGAAAGCGCTGAGAACCCCACCAATCGCCAGGGAGTTCCCAAAGACTTAACATTTGAACTGGGACCTGATGGACCTGATGTGTGAAGAGCTGGGGGAAAGGCATTGACAGCAGTGGGAACAGCAGGTGCAAAGGTCCTGTTGTGGAGCAGAGTTTGTTCTAGAAACTCAGGTATGTCCTCACAGAGTTGGAAAACATACACTCAAGCACTGGGAAAAGTATGTTTCACCCCTTCCACTATTCAATCACTCGGCAATGTGGACTGAAATCAAGAAATACCTTCTTTGGTTTTGAGGGGCCCTAGGTTGGTGAGGGAGAGTAGGCAGGCTGTTGGGTCCAACTATTCTAGCCTTCCAGCCACATCTCTCTCCAGATGATAGAAGAATAAAACCAACATCCGGTCTGGGGAGCAAAAGCCCTCAATACACATCTCAGTCATAGATGACTTCTGCACATCTTAGATGCAGAGATTGAGGCTGAGTCAGGAAAAATGACTTATTTAGGATAACACACTCTTCAAATAAAATCAACTTGTCACCCACCCAGCCTGGCACCCCAGGAGTCTTCCCCTCATCTTACCAAGCTCCCAGCAAGGAGTAAATGTGTGCTCCTTCCCCAGTCTTCATCTAGGGATGGGTTAACAACTCCTTTCCTGAGAATCAGGAAAGTAGACCCAACACTTGAGGCCAGGACTTCCCCAAGATGTAAGAACTGAGAATCGTACTGTGGGCTCTGACATAATGTCAGCTCCATATACTGTGTAACTTGATGCTTACCAGTCCCTGTTCGTTCTTACCTTGTGGCCAGCCTCATCTCTTTTCTGTCACTGCCAAGAGGTTTAGTCCATGATTCACGATCCTTTATCTGTGATTCTGAAGTCCAAAAAGTTTTGGAAACTGACAGTCTGCACAAGTTCGGTGGTACTTTTTGTTTTTAAGACATGACCTGACTAATGAGGAACATTTTCATCCTTGCTTACCCACCCCTTCCCTTGAGGAAATATGTTCTTTCAAAATGGGGAAACCTCGGCCCCGCTGACAGTGTGAAGTGACACACCGTATTTGTATTGGGAAAACTTTCTAAAATCTGAAATCTGAATTCTGGAAACATCTGGGTTTAACTGTGGTGTCGACCTTTTTGTTACAGCTGAGGAAACTGAGTCACCCCTTACCAAAGCCTAGCTCAGCGTTCTGAGTTGAGTCAGTCCCTAGGGAGGGGCGGGTATTTGTATTCTGAAAAGGTAAAGGCTCTCGCTGTTACCCCGCACAGGACCTCGAAATGCCAAGCCTCAAAGGCTGGCGCCCCTGGAGATAGGGGGCGCCCCTGGAGGGGGGGGGTGCTAGGAGCGGGCGAGGAGTATCCTTGGCGGGCGGGGCAAGGGGGCTTCCGGGGCGGCAGCCACCTGGCCCGGCCCCCTCCGGCTCCGCCCGCTTCAGCTCCGCGCGGTGATTCACTCCCTCCTTCGCCCCGGGGGCCCCTTCCCGGCCAGACGGCGGGCTAGACGACTGGGTGTGCAGCGTCCTCGAACCCGCGAGCAAACCAGCAGATCCTCCGCTGCGGTAGAGACACCGGCCCACGCCATGGCGGATTCCGAGCGCTTCTCGGCCCCCGGCTGTTGGGCCGCCTGTACCAGCTTTTGGCGCACCCGAAAGGGAATTCTCCTGTTTGCTGAGATTGTGAGCGTCCCGGGACCGGCGGGTGGGCAAAGGTGGAGTTGGGTGTCTGGACCGTGCAGAGTTGGGTGGCCCCGGGTGAGGGAGGCGCTGGCCCGGAGCGTTCGGTTTGGGGTGAGGGTGGATGCGTTAGTGGTGGGGGCCCGAGACCAGAGGCGCAGGGCGAATCAGTGGGGTTCGGAGAAGGTGGTCGGGAGCTGTGGGTCCACCGGGAGAGGCAAGGGACGTATAACACAAATGGGGCGCCCGGTGGAGAGAGATGACTTGGACTCATCGGTGGACTCATCGAAGGGGTCCCAAGGGCCTGGGAGGTTGGGGGGCCTCCCGTGGCAGGGCGTGGCGCGGCCTGGGCACTGGCGGGGCGGGCTGGCCAGGTGCCAAGGGGCGGGGTCTGTTGGGGTGGGGCCCCGCGCGGTATGGTGGCCCGCCCTTCGCAACTCTTTCTCACCCTTGTGTGCTGGGGCGGGAGGACCTTAGCTATCCCGGTCTCTGCAGGCCTCGTTTTCCCGCCCTCCTCAAAGTGAGTTCAGCCTTAGAGTCACTTTTAAAAGAGGTTCGGCGCCTTTAACGGAGCCCTGCCCCTCCGGTGTCAGTCTCTGAGCTTCCCCAAGGGGTTGCCTGGGGAACCACATGCCCCGCCCATCCAAGGCGCTGAAGCTGGCGCCTGCAGGGCTCGCGAAACACCTGGCGGCGCCACTCCCTGCAGGCCACCCCTTCCTTAGGAGGGAAAGGGGGAAAACGGAGTGACCCAACTCTTCCCCTTGCCAGCTGAGTGACCCCGAGTCAGTCGCTTAACCTCTCTGTGCCTCACTTTTCTCATCTCTAAACTAAAGATAGTAGTAATAACAGTACAGCTCATTAGGTTGCTGTGATGATTAAGTGAATTAGTGCAGTTCTTAGAACGATATTTGGAACACAGTAAGCACACAGTAAGTAGTTAGGTGTGATTATTTGTCATCTTCCCTGTCCTGATAGGCATCCCAGTTTGAGATTCCTAATTTAAACCAACCCCCTCAGCCTCGGAGGTTGGTGGAGACCTCTTTCCCATGCCATCCTTCCAGATACTGTGCCTGGTGATCCTCATCTGCTTCAGTGCCTCCACGCCCGGATACTCCTCCCTGTCAGTGGTTGAGATGATCCTTGCTGCTGTTTTCTTTGTCATCTACATGTGTGATCTGCACACCAAGATACAGTTCATCAACTGGCCTTGGAGTGTGAGAAAGGGTTTGAAAATGGTGGGGCTGGGGAGGGGCCCCAGCAGTTGGGAAGATCTGGTGGACTCTGAATGCTGACTTCCGTCTTTTCCCTGTACCTCACAGGATTTCTTGCGAACCATCATAGCGGCCATCCTCTACCTGATCACCTCCATTGTTGTTCTTGTTCACGGAGGAAACAACTCTTCAATCGTCGCTGGGGTAAAGGCCATGGAGGCTGCACTAAAGTCTAGAGTTTGGGGACCCAAGGCTACCTCTGCTTCTAATAGAAAGCATGTGACCCATAGCAGGTCACACCTGTCTTCAGGGCCTGCAGGAAATTCTGCTCCAGGCCCTGTTTTTCCTTCCAAGATCAGTTGTTGTGAAGTTCCATCCCTGTCCAGCATAGGGACCATTGTGGGAATCGTAAGATGTGGCCCCTTTGCCAATGCATTAGACCACCATCTGCTAGAACTTTGTCTTAAATGTACAGTGTGGATGGTGCCTACGTGTCAGGCTACCATATGGTTGTCCTGTGTTCAGAGGTCCTAGGAGAAGGCCGGTAGGGTCAGTTCTATCTCCTGGCCATTCCCTGAGTGCTGTCCAGGTTCCCAACCTGGGGCTTCAGTATCCATCCCTCTGGGGGGTAGCCAGTCACTGGATGAGGTAGAAACGAGGAGGCTGGAGAGGAGTAGGCTGATCAGCTTAATCCAACTTCCCTCACTCCCATTCTACTCACCAGGTACTGGGCCTATTTGCTACCTTCCTCTTTGGCTATGATGCCTATATCACCTTCCCTTTGCGCCAACAAAGACACACAGCAGCCCCTACTGGTAAGTGTGTATGTGGGCAGTTTGCTGAGGGGGCTGAGAAGGAAAGGGGTATCTCAAGGGCATGAATGCCAAATCAGTCCCTTCTTGGTACAGATTACAGCTGTAGTGTCAGCAGTACCATAATTGTCAATATTCTTGTCTGTAAAATGGGCATATAGATCCACCCAATGTTTTCTTTCTTTTCCTCATTTGCAGACCCTGCAGATGGCCCAGTGTAGGTGAACCACCCTTCATTTCTCCTTGCAACCTGCAAAAACCACCTCCTTGGAAGTAACTCCTCCCCACCCTGCAACAGTACTCCTAGCCTACTCCTGCCCCCTTGAGGTAAAAGTGCCTTTACCTGGAGATTTGTCTTCCAGCCTGCCAGTCAGACTTCCTGGGTATGACCACCTTTGTGTGTGCCTAGTTCCCCCTGCCTTTTACAGTATCCAAAAGGAGCAACCAGTTGTTCCTGGACTATGCCCCCACCTAAGCCACTGCCCAAAATGATTTCGGACTCCAGTTGTGTCCCACTACAAATAACCTCAGTGTGAGGTTATTTATCCTTGTAGAAGGAGAAATAAATAATAATAAACAGATGGTTTAATGAATAAATTAATCCTCTGATTAAATGTGGATAGATCTCAAACATCTGGAAGGGGAAAATTGGGGCGGGGAGCAGCTGAAGCAAAAGAGTAAAGAAGCCGGGCCTGTCTTACAACAAATATTAAATTACTCCAATAGTACAAACAGACCAAATGGAGGAGGAAGGGAATTTATGCCTTAGTTTGGGGGTGGGCCATCATCTACACTGACTTGAATGGAGCCCCCCAGGATTGCCTTGCCTTCAAGCCAGAATGCAGTTCTTGTCTCTGGCCTGGCGAGATATCCCTGGGCGGGAGTCCCGGGGAAGCTGTGGAGATGGGGTATTGGGGGTCTCAGTTGCAGTGTCCTGAGCATACACAGGCCTGCACAGTGTGGGGGCAGCGGGATTCGTTCCCCTAGGAAGAAGCCATCATCCTCTGAGGACTCGGAACTGGGGCTGGAGGGTGAGCTGGAGCAAGATCCTGAGTCTGACCCTGATCCCAAGTCACATTGATGGTGGCGACGTCTGCCAGAGTGGTGGCGGTGATGGTGGTAGTGGTGGCGGCGGTGGCAGCGTCGGCGCCGACTGGAGACCCTGGGTGGTGGACTGCGTGGCCTGCGGCGCTGGGCTGGGGGTGCACTCAGGGTCCTCCGAGGGCCTCCGTCAGACACCAGAGGGTCTCGGAAACTGACACGTGGGGTGCTCTGGCGACCGAAAGCACCATCTTCTGGGCATGGGTCCGGCCTGTCAGGTGGCCCTGGGGGTGCCTCAGGGGCATTTCGGAGACCCAACTCAGGCATGGAGTGGCGATGGGGGGCCCCTCTCAGAAAGCGGGCAGGTTCCTCAGGGCCTGCATCTGGAAAGAGATGGGGAGTTCTCCAGGTATTTGTGCCACCACCATGCCCACCTGAGGGAAGGCCTGTGGTAGGGTCCTTTCTTCTTTCCCCTACCAGGACTGGGAAAGTGGGGGCAGGGTCAGAAAAGGGAAGCAAGATAGAAAGACCTGGAAATAATGAACCCCAGGGCAGGCTCCGGTGGAGGGAAGGGTGAGATTGGAGGAGCTGGATCAAGATTGGATTGGTGAGGGGCTGGGACTGGGGTCCAGGTTCTGATGGAAGGGGCGTGGCATAGGCCCTAGTAGTGGAGGTTTGGGATGGAATAGGAATGGGGGGGACCTGGGCGTGGAGGGTGGAGGGTTAAGAGTTTGGAGGAATGGAGAAGGAACATGGGCCGAAGCAGGGACAGGTGGGGTTTGGGGACAATCCCAGTAGAGAAGGAAGCAGGGCTCACAGGAGGGTGTAGTTTGGGCTGGAAACCAGGCCTAGAATGTCAGGGGGGCTAAGCCAGCGCTGGGTTGGGGGCGGAGCCAGAGCTGCTGCAGGGGTGGGGCCTGGGCGATTGAAGGGGAGGGGCCAGGGTTTGCGGGGTAAGTGCAGTGTAGGTGGGAGTGGCTGAAGGCTTAGCTCACCAGGCGCTGGCTCCGTACTGGTGCCTTTGGTGGCGGTCTCATTCGCCCCCTCCACGGTAGAGAAAGAGGCTGTGGAGGCTGCGAGCGGTGCAGAGACCGTGCCCGGGCTCCAGCTGCGGCGGCCAGGTCCAGGAGCCGTGGGCTCGGACCCCAAGCTGCAGGCTCGTGAGCAGAAGATTAGGCCACGGCGCGGCAGGAAAGGGCGGCCCAGAAGGGCCTGCCCGCAGCGACTACAGCAGAAGCAGCGGTCTGAGGCGTGCCAGTGTTGGCCCTCATAAGCCATCTGTCCCTGGTCCAGGCCTGTGGAGAACCAAGCGAGGGGGGAAACTGAGGCAGAGTCCTCAAACACACCCCCACCCCTCCTGAATAGGGCCCTTCTTGGGAAGAGGCAGGAGTCTGAGCCAGGGTACCCAAAGAACCCTCTCCCCTCATCTCTTCAGAATGGGGCCCTTCCTTGGAGAGAGCAGGAAACCTGAAGGTTGGTTCTCACCCCTGGCTTCCTCATTCTTCTCTCTCTTGGCAACTGTCTTGTAAATGTTTCCCCCTCCCTGTCTCTTTTTTCCCAAGGTGCCCTCTCCCAGGGTGGGCCTATCTTGGGGGCAAAGGGGCTCAGCTGAGGGGGTGGGAGGGTAGTGTTGGGGAGTGGGAATTCTAGGGCACTCTGGTCTAGATGTGTAGTGCTGCACAGGTGGGGTTTAGAAAGTATTACACTATTACCACACTTTAATGAGGGCTGTCGGCAATGGGATTTGCAGTAATGGGCATTGGGTTAGACAAAGTATAGAGTGGCATAGGGCAGAGAGCCTGAAAGACAGGAGGAATCCTGGTGGTGTGGGGCTGTGGCCCAACTGTCCATCCACCCCCTGTCCAGGTCCCTCGTTCACCCACCGATGTGCTCTCCACAGCCATCACAGTACTCAGCGTGGCGAGCCTCATAGCAGGCGCAGCAGTGGGGGCGGCTCTGACGCATGACGTAGCGCTGCCCTCCTAGCGATGCTTCACACTCGAAACAGCAGAAGTGACCCATGTGCCAGTGCCGGCCCTCGGCCTCTGTGCACTCAGGGGAGAAGATGATCTGGGGGGGAGGGAGAAGGCCATCTGTGGCTGTAAGAAAGGTGTGCCCCTGGCCTTGCCCGCTGCCCCCTCCTTCCCGTGCCAAGTCACAAACCTCATCACAGGCTTGGCAGCGTGGGCGCAGACGTTCAGCATGGTGGCGACCGCAGTAGACCTTGCCTGCGTGGTAGAAGTAGATGAGGTCCACCAGCAGCTCCCGGCATGTGGAGCACACAAAGCACTGTGGGTGCCAGCAAGCCCCCAGGCCTGCCCGGCTGGCAAATACTGCGATGTCTCCACCTCCGATCTGCTTGCCACACTGCCAAATGACAGATATACACCATCACCATCATGGACACCATGACCATCAAGATGGTCAGATGGAAAAGGGGTCAGTTAGAAAAGCTGGTCAGTCAAGGCATGGCAACTTGGGGCTTCCCTGTGGTGGATCTTTGTGACTGGCCCCAACTACAGGGTAGCTTTGAGACAGATCCTGCCTACCTTCATGAGGAGGACTTAGAGATTGACCCTGCTCCTGGGGGGAAAGGTACAGACAGGTTCCATTCATCATGGGTGGCCTTAAAGGCAAGCTCCTTAAGGGGCTGGGGGAACCATAGAGACAGGCCAAGACTTGAGGGGACCTTAGTGACAGACCTCACCTAATGGTAGGATCTAAGGACAGGCTCCACCCAACAGGGGGACCTTGGGGACTAATTCCACCCACCACCGGGCTCTAGAAACACTTTTTTTTTAAAGTTTTTTTTATTTTATTTTATTTTTTTTTTTAATATAGAGGCATGTTATTTATTTATTTGTTTGTTTGTTTTGTTTATACATGCACTGGGTATAGTCAGAAGCGCGGGAGGGTGAGAGAATTCACCAGAGCCAGAGCGGGGAGCAGAGCAGGCAGAAGGACTGAAGTACACTGCTGAGGGGAGCAGCGGGCGGCAGGAGAGGTCTGCGCGCCATGCGGGACCCTCCTCCGGTGGCCGGGGAGCAGCCGGGGATCGAACCGGCGCCGCAGAGGCTGCGGGCAGCTTCCCAACCCAGCGCTCAACCGCTGCGCCACCGGGGAGGCCCATTTAAAGTTTTTTTTTTAAAGATTTATTTATTTATACAAGAACCAGGGTACATGTCAGAGGCGCAGGAGGGTGAGAGAATCTACCAGAGACAGAGCGGGGAGCAGAACAGGCAGAGGGACCAAGGACTGCTGAGGGGAGCAGCGGGCGAGGCAGGAGAGGTCTGCCTGCCATGTGGGTTTCTCCCTGGCCAGCTGGGAATCAAACCCGCACTGCAGAGGCTGCAGACAGCTTCACAGTGCGGTGCTCAACCTGCTGCACCACCGGGGAGGCCTCTCTAGAAGCACTGTTTTGAAGGACAAGTCCCCACCATGAGAGGATCAGGGAGACAGCACAGGCCCCACATCCACTGTGGACAGGAGGAATCCACAGAGAAGGTCAACTAGTGCTTCCTTAGAGGCAGACCACTCCCAACAATAGGCTCTGAGGCACAGGCCCCATTCCTTAGGGGACCCTATAGACACAGCCTGCCAGCCATAGAAGTCGAGATGGTTCCTGCACGGACCCTACTCACCAGGGTGGGCAGTAGAGACAAGTCCCAAGGTTGTAAGTGGCAAGTCTGATCTATCTGCCCAGGCTGGGGGAGACAGGCCCTGCACTCCAGGGCACTGCTCTGGCCCTGCTCACCCACGGAGGCCATCCATGACTCACCTCTTCACAGATGGCGCCAGTGATGGTCACAGGGAAGATGCGCACAGTGCCGCGCCCCAGATTCTCCCTCTTCCGCTGCTGGCTGAAGGCTCTGAGCTCTTTCTTCTCAACCTCTTCCAGGGCCGTGCAGTACTGTGCCTGGAGGGGGTAGGGGTCTTCCAGGTTTCTCCCTTGATGCTTGCCCCCAAACCTCTTCCAAATTTCAGCCATGCTTAAAAAGTTTACTTCTAGACCTTTGTAAAGATGGTGCTTCCTGCCTGAAATACTCACCCCTTACTATTCATCCAATATCCAGCTATGGTTTTGCCATAGAATGTACCCCAATTGCTCCTTTCACCTCAGATCAGCTCACCTTTCCTCCTGCGACCCTGCCATTTCTCGCCTCCCAGCCTTTGCCCAGGCTGTATCCCCTACCTGGTACACCCTTCCTGTCTTCTTTCTCCTCACCTCACTGTCGTGTGGGGGGAGCTGGTGCAGCAGCTGCTTGATCCTGTATTTCTCCCCAGGACTGTTGACATAGGGGACCTTGTCCTCTGGGAGGCAGCTGAAAAATTGGTATACCTGGGAGGACAGGGCGGGTGAGAAAACAATTGAGACTAGGGGTGAGTTGAGATGCAGTGGGATGGTGGGGCCTACTTCTCTGAGAATATTAAACTCATCAATCAGTAGGGAACGTCTACTGACACTCCCACCTCTCCCTCCTACAGGCCAGGCTATTCCTGTCAGCTCCCAAACATGCCTAGTGTACCCTCATGTCTTGACTCCATTTTCCCCTCCAGCTGCTGTCCCACTTT